ATTTATGCAGAAATATAGAAAATTATAAAGGGTTCACAAACTTTCAATAGAAAAGATTAAAAAGAAGGAATGTACAAAGAAAAGTGCACTTAATAATAAATTAACTAAAGCAAGTAGTAGAAAAGCTAAGCAAAAACCATAAAAGTAATAAATTTAAAGAAATGGATGAAGCTAAAAACAAATGGAATAGTAAAAGAACAACTTGTCTGAATAAAAAGCAGCAGTTCTGACACAAACACCTGGATCCTGCAGAGAAACTGGTCTGAGTCTCAGAAAACTGAAATAAAAGTGATTTCCTGCAGGCCTGCTGTTAGCGTGCTGAACATTTGTGTTTTTATGTCCGTAAACAGCATCGACCCGGTTCTGGAGGACAAAACATACGATGATTAGCAGCTAATGTGGCCTGAACGTCCCCCATCAGTCTTCATCAGCGTCCCCGTCCCTCCCCTGGTGCTGAGTGTGTATTTGGACAAGTGTGGGCGGTTTATGTAGAGAGTGAAAAACTATAACAAACTCTGGGATTAGAGGTCTTTTTGAAGCAGGTCCAGACTGAGCTGAGACCTGATTGCACATGAAACACAGACGAAGACGCTTCCCAGAGTTACAGCCGTGTTTATCTGACACAATCTGTCCAAAACGAGACAAAACCCGTCTCGGAGCCGATCCACACTCATCCCCCACAGAACCAAACCCAGATACTGACTGTTTAAAGGCATCCGAAACCGGACGTTTTATGGAAAGAACGTTGATTTCTGCATCAACAAACAGAATTCAGCTGCGATACTGAAAAGGTTGTGTATTTGTACACATGGCAAATATTTCAGCTTCAAGAACACCCAAAAGAACGAGAGAAGAGGCGGAATTTTATTGTGAGAACCCAAAAAACTTTGTGTTCAGACGGTAAATTTAAACACAAATTAAGATAGAAATAATTATATACAGGTTCATTCATTCAACCTTTATTTAGACAAGTTAATCCCATTGAGCCTCAGAGACTCATTTACAAGAGAGATCTGACTTCTTAACAAAGAGTGGTGACAGCAATGGATAACGACAACAATATACAGTCATAAAATAGGCACAGGCATACAAATTTAAGTTTCTCCTTTTTTTTCTTTTACAATTCAAAACAAAATAGCAACCAAAAGGACAATCAAGAGGAATAGTAGCAAAAAAGCAGCTAGATTATAAGGCGATATTAGAAAACTATATGGCTAATATGGACTGTACAAGTGCTAAAATGGCTAACATGAACTCTACTAATACTAATAAGTTCTATGGCTAATATGAACTCTACAAATGCTAAAACTACTAATATAAACTCTATTAATGATAATA